AGAAGTCAACTGACGATTTATGAAGAACTGAGACATTTTCCAAAATCTACAGTGCTGTGACTGCAAGACATGCTATTTCTATAGTGTTTCTCAACAGGAGAAAAATTATTTAAAATTAGTTTCTCTGTAAGTGATTCAATAATCCAAACTTTAGATTCAGATATCTAATTCACCAGAAATCTTACTTTTATATACCTTTGAGTAGCATAAGCTTGAAATTTGAAATTTCTAGCAGCATTTGATTTCCATAATAGAGTTAGCCCATCCGTATAACTTTAAATACAAGCATTAATTTTTCTTCCTTGGAAATAAGTATCTGTGGGATATCTCCAGCATAAAACAAATAATCCTATATTATTGACACAAAAACTTCCTTGGCATAGTAACTTCCTTCACAATGATTTCAGCTAATTTACTAAGGAAACCACTAGATGTTAGGGGTGCTTGCCACTTTACTCTGTATTATTTAGGTTATGCAAACTAACTCTGGATTTAAAATGAATAAACCAAATTTACTTACCAAGAATGACTTATTCTGGAACCCTCAGGTTATTTTAGTTTTATATTTCTACAATATTAATGCCTTAGCTTGAAGGTTACAGGAGTACATACTGTTAAATTTGACCTTTGATCTAGAAAATGAGCATCTTTTTCATGTCAGCAATAAGACTTTCATAATTATCAGGACTGATTGCAGATTGCAGTGAAGCAATACCCTTAATTTCTTTAACAATGTTGGTCCTTGATTTCTTACTCTACATAAAAAGTACAACAAGGTAGACATATTTAATAACTTTTTTCATATTACTGTCACTAAGTATTTTACTCTTAATTACAAAACTAATGAGCTTTCTACACTATGCTTTTTGCTAGACCTATCACTTATTTCCACTAACTTTAGTGCTAGACTATAACGTAACATTTCTACCCTAGGTGGGACTTACAATCATTGAGTGGTTTGTACTTTTAGCACAGAGTAACTATAAACCTGCAGCTACATCATTTCACCGCTAGATGGGCTTGTGCACAGGTAACGTGAAATGGGGCGTGCAGAAGATAAAGACAGTGTGATGTTAAGAACAGATGTTGACTGGGTTTGACAATATTGCAGGGACAAAGCTGCCACACAGCAAAAGCTCAGACTGCCTGTTAATTGTCAATAAAATGATGTTGTCTCAATTACTGAAATTTCTCCTACTGATTCATTTCATAATGCAGAGGAGATAGGTTAGCTAGTATAACAAATAAAAGCAATAAACAGAGTCAGGTGCTAGTATGTTACATGTAAATTATTTAATGTTTGACTTTGTGCAAGCTGCTTAACCTCCTGGGACTCAGTTTCTTAGTCTATTAAAAACTGGAGGAACTAGACTAATGGTAACACCTACGGGATTGGTGGCTTAGGAGGGCATTAGTTCTCCCATAATCTTTAATAGGAACCTTTAGTAATCCTAGAATACTAGTTTAAAAGGTGTACTTGTTAGGAAAAATGCACTTCGATGCATATCTGGTATCTGTACCTAACTTCTTCCCCACTGAAGACAACTTAAAACATTCTGATGTTGCCACTGCCACTGCTCCAGCCTAAAATGAACTCCAAGATTCTCTTTTTTTTGAAACAGAGTCTCGCTGTCTCCCCTGCTAGAGTGTAGTGGCATCATCATAGATTGTTGCAACTCAAACTTCTGGGTTCAAGCAATCCTGTCTCAGCCATGCGAGTAGCTGGGACTATAAACACCCACCACCACACCCAGTTAATTTTTTCTATTTTTAGTAGAGATGGGATCTCACTCTTGTTCAGGCTAGTCTGGAACTCCTGACCTCAAGTGATACTTCCTGCCTCAGCTTCCCAGAGAGCTAAGATTACAGGTGTGAGCCACTGTGTGCCACCGAACTCCCAAGATTCTTTAAATTAAGCTCTGGGTTCTCTTTGTATGCAGTACTTTTGCATGAATAGGTAACATACTTAGATGCATTAACTCCTGAAAACTATAATTAAAGCAGATAATGACAATGTGAAATATTGACTATTTATACATTCATATTTGTCTGCTTGGAAATCACTGACAAAACCTAATGGATGAACAGGGAAAAGTGACGAGAAGTGAACTGAAGATGCTGATTAGGTATAGTAGAAAAAGCAGGATAATGAATAACAACATAGTTAGAAATAGGGAATGCCTATTTAGATACTCCAAGGAATCTAAACTTACTGCTTCTGCCTCTTGTTCTTTAACACTGTAACAGATACTCAGTAACAACTAAGACAAAGCCCTCCATATAATTTAGAAGTATACTGGATCAAATATGCAAAGAAAATGATGGCTTACTAATAAAGAAGTCTGTATACGTGTCATAGCAGTATACCTTTTAACTCAGCAAAGTTTGCTAATGCGTTGAACTATCTTTCTGGAAAACATGCCTGTCAAAGTCCATTAAGTATCTGTCTGAAAGTATACCTTGCAAAGTTCTCTATTTTGTATTTCCTAAAGGTATTGTGCTTACGTAAAAGTGAAAGTTTCTAACATTCAATCTAATATAGAATAGTAAATATGAATAAAATTTAAATAAATATAAGAAAAGGATTTTATTTCTAATCTTAATCTCTTCTAATGAATTATTGATTCAAATTGCTGATTTCATTAAATGTTTCACCTCATATTTACTAAATATCAATCATGGTATTTTTTCTTCCCCTGAAGAGTTTACATTTCTTGAGAAATACAATTGATAGCCACAGTAAATATGGTTTTCTCAATTTTTTACCCCACTTGAACTAGTTATTCTGTTTAAAAAGAAAAAAATAAGCCCAGGTACTTAAGTCTACAAAGATGGTAAAACACTATTATTTTAACAAACCAACTAGATGTGACTTTTTTTTACTGTCTTACAAAACAGTATGTACACTGTGATCCCAATTTCAATTTTTAAAATATGCATAAAGAATGGAAAGATATACATTAAAATGTTGGCAGTCATTTCCCCTGATTATATCCATTATTTTTCTTTTTTTTTTTAGCATTTTCAACAAAAAACCTGAATTACTTCTGTATTATTAGACATCATTGTTATGTTAGGTGATAGAAGAATATATAACCTATTACAAAGATATTTCTGTAAAAGTACAGTGCTGTATATTAATGAAATACATCAATTTGATTTCCAAGAAAATAGTCTGAAGACTACAACTTTCTCAAAATGTAAAGTTGTTTCCTGTACAAGGACTCACTCTACTGGTGACAAAGAGAATATATTTATTCTGACATTTCTGAACTAACTGCATACTTTCCACAAACACTAGAGGGCAGGGTTTTCTCCATAAAACTCAATTTCACTTACATTAGTGTGTTTGTATATACACACAAACACACATTTGTATATACATACAAACATACATTTGTGTGTATATACACACAAACATACATTTGTGTGTATATACACACATTCATTTGCATATTTCAAAACTATTTTTAGGGCTGTATTAACAAATACATAATTTAAGTCTCTAACATGACACCATCTCATGTTAAAACTAAATGACTAATAAACCCCTTGAAAATTGAGGCCCTGCACTACTGGTTTAATTTAATAAAAACTACAAAGATAATTTTTAAAAAGTTGATTAAATGCCCTCAGAATTGCAGATCTTTAAAAGGACACTGAAATACTTTTCTCTAACCCCAAAAGCTTCTCGTATCTATGAAGCTTATGAATTGTGGTGGTGCTGGAATAAAAACTGAGGGAAAACGACATTCCAGGAAGAAAGAACAGCAAGAATAAAGTCATGACATTTCAAAATTGTATAATTTATTTGGGGGATGCCAAAGTAATTTGGTATGTGACTACAGCATAGGGTATGTTGGGGAAATAGCTAAATCAGAAAATAAGGGTGGGGTCAACTGAGTAAAGATTGTTCTGCTATACTTTGGAGTTGGACTTTATTCTGAAGCCAATAGGAAAGCCATGGAAGACTTTTAAAGAGAAAGCTGTCACTAGATGTGTTTTTAGAAAGATAGCAGTATAGTTGTTCCTTGTTATCCACTGGATTGGTCCCAGGATCCCCCACAGATACCAAAATCTGTGTATGCTCAAAGTCCTTTATATAAAATGGCATAGTATTTGCCTATAAGCTACACATATTCTCCTGTACACTTTAAATCATCTCTAGATTCCTTATAATACCCAATACAGTGTAAATTCTATGTAAATAGTTGTTATACTATTATTTTTTATTTGTATTACTTTTTACTGTTGTATTGTTAATTTTTATTATTTTTTCCCAAATATTTTTGATCTGTGGTTGGTTGAGTCCATGGATATGGAACCCAAAGATACAGAGGGCTGACTGTATACACGGTGAATTAGAAGAGAGAGAGCTTAGAAGATTGAAAACCAAGGAGTCAAGTACACTGACCAATGCTTCATGTAGTAACAGTACAAAAACACGGGTGGTGCAAAAAAGAAGCCTTCCAATGATATTTGAAAAGGCAGAAAGGACTGGACTTGGGAAGGAATAGATACAATAAATAAGGGTTTGTGGTAAGTGAAATGGGTGAATACTGATGTCTTTGAGACGAAGACTAGAGTTTTAATCACTCTAAGTGCAAAGTGCTTTCTGAAATCTAGGTAACAAAATCTATTAAATAGGTAGAAACACAGGGCTGGAATTCAGTGAAGTGAGTTATAAGTGAAAGAAAAAATGACATTAAATTTTTCTGTGACTTATGAAATGTCTCATTACACTAAAATCATATCCCTTGTTAAAGTAATTGATCATTTTTTAAAAAAAACATTACATTATCTAGATATGGAATTTAAAATATTATTCTCCATATATCTAAAGGCTGAGCCCGCAAGCTTAAAAACCTTGTGTCATTTGTGTTTTATGAAGACTAGAGCCTTATCATATCTCACAAATAAGCAGCCTCCTATTTCTATGTATTTCAGTATTTTTAGCAGTTGAAATGGTTAAAAACAAAACGAGAAACAGGAATACTTACTTGAACCTGGCAGGTGAAAGAGGAGTAGGGGGAAACATTCCTGGTTCAAAAGAATCAAAATAAGTCACGGTCCAAGAAAAGCTGCAACAGGAGAATCCAGCAGTTAGGGATATTATAAGCAGAGTCCAGAATCCTTAATGGGAAGAGAGATGGGAAAAACTTAAATTATTAACAGCAAAACAATTTAGAATAAACCAGTATTCTCATGTTCAGATCATGTATATTTTTGATCTTCTCAACTATATGGAACCGGGATAAGAGATCTGAGCTTAGTACAAGCTAACTCATGTAGAAATATAAATGACTAAAACACAACTAGAAGTCATATCATTGAATCTTTTAATTATAATGTAATATGTGGAAAGGAGGTCAAATTCAACTTAATATAACATCTTCAGTTTTATAAAATTCAACTATAGAAAAAATGGTCAAAATATTTCACTCTTAAGATGTTCTGACATTTTTCAATCAATTTCAATCTATTTTGGAGAGCAGTTTGGCAGTATCTGTTAAAATAATATATGTACATATCTCTTAATCAAGTAATTCTACTTCCAGATATTTGCCCTAAAAACATACAAACCTGTATAAAATGATGTATACACAAGATTACTCTCTGTGGCTTTGTTTATAATAAAGATTAGAAACAACCTAAATGATCAACATTAGAGGGATAAAGTTGGTTTATTAAGTACAATCATAAAATGTAATACTATGCAACTATAAAGAATAAGGAAGCTCTTTATGTACTGATATATTATAAAAAGATCTCCAAAATATACTGGTGAGCCAAAAAATCAATGTTCAGAACAGCAATAAATACTTGTATAAAGGGGGAAATTATGTATTATGTATGTGTGTTATACATATGGAGAAATGAATATACGTTTTACTTACATATTAAAATTTCTGCAAGGATATTTTAAGAATTTAACATTGGCCCTCTGTAGGGAGAGGAAACAAGTGGTTGGGAGACAGGAGTGAGAGGAAGCCTTTTCAGTTCACTCTTTTATACTTTTTGAATTTTGACCCATATGACTATTCTACTATTCAAAATATTAAATGGAAAAGTAAACTTCTAAAAAAATCTCTAGTCGAGCAATCCTTTTTGAATAGGGGAGGAGCAGGAAGTTGTATCAGAATCTTTGTGGAAGCACTTTCGAACTGCCTCCGTAAGACAGGTTTCTGAAGAGTACGTATTCCATGCCTCAGAAACACAGGAAGGAAAGGTTGAGAACACGAGAAGATGACTTACGAATTATCAAATTTCCTGCCTACACAAAACGATCCACCAAAGGAGCCTTTATTTTAACTAGAAGCAGGTAAGAAATAAATGCAGTGGACAGTGTGTAAACCATGTGAAGTCTAGTAACAGACTTATAAAACTGCTAAAATACAAAGAGCAATTAAGCATTAACAAAATGTGTGGTAAAGTATTTCTGAAAGATTAACCTATTTTTTTTCTCTGATAGTTCCCTTTCCTTTCCTTTCTTTTAAAGAGCTAATGGGCTCTGTGTTCACTGCCCCAGAAGAGGGATGTGGCAAAGCAGAAAGGAGAAATAGCTTGAGTGTTTTTTTATTTTTATGTTGCAAAATAATTACAGGAACACAGTGTATCCTGCCTGAATAGATAGCAAAGACAATGAAATGATTGTGGTATAGTATGTTTGCATGAGACTGAAGCAGGAAGACTGCTTGAGGCTAAGAGTTTGAAAGCAGCCTGAGCAACATAATGAGACCCCCATCTCTAAAAAAAAAATTATATGGACTACCAGCTACTTGGGAGGCTGAGGTGGGAAGATAGCTTGAGGCTAGGAGTTTCCCTGGGCGATATAGCAAGACTCTATCTCTTAAAAAAAAAGGTCCGTGTGGAACAGGGACAAAGAGGGTGAGGGGATTATCTATCGGTGAGAAAGATTTTTCTGGTTTGAAAAAACCATGTTGTATGTGTGTACATGGGGAGAAGGAGGAGTGCTGCTGCGGCTTCCTGGCAAAGCCATCTATAAGAGGCCACCCAAAACCACACACGGGGTATAGCTGTGTACAGTGTCTTAGCAGATGGGCCCCGGACCAAGCCTGCAGATGACTTTGCCCTAAGTGAGGCATAGGAACAGCAGATGGTCATGTGGCTGGAAGTTGCTACATCTGAACGGCCATCCTGACCAGAATAAAAGATGTTTCAACATTCAATTGAGCAAATGTCTTGAGAATCAGCCTGGCACAGCATCAGCCTCTAGAACCTTAACCTAACCTGGGATTGGGTGGACAGAAGCTGGGTAGAGACTAAGGTACAACTTTCCTCTCAACCCAGTAAGATAAGGGGTCAAAACAGAAATGAGATTTAGAGCACAACTAAAATTTATGTATTGCTATATTGCCAAGTAGCTGTTAATTTGCTATTATTTAGATGAATATCTGTAAAGAGGGTAGAAAATAATTGACAAGCTAACTCTAAGTTTAAAATCAGATGTTAAGTTTCCAGAACAAAGATGGTAATCAACTCAAGAAATATCAAGTATTTGAGTATGGGGACTGCTATGGAATGATGAAACTTCTAGATACCTAAAAAAGTGAAGACACAAAATAACATTTAAAAATAACCAAATGGGAGGCTTTCTAAAGCCCAGCAAGATTTTTCATTCAGGTTCTTTAATGGCATACCTGTCAAATTTAACACAAGTATTCTTGAGTTTTTCCAAAATGACCACTATTACACAATCTAAGTGTTTGCCTCACATTGGGCATCTCAATTATTTTGTATTCATTTTAAACTAATCAAAAGTTATATCACAGATAAGCAAGGAAACGGTGACAGGGCAAAAACAAGTGGTCTAGAAGTGCTTATGAATCTGAAAACTACTCAGTTCATTTATGAATAAGCAGAAAAGCCACAGAAGTTCATAACTCCCAACAACTAAATTTGTACAAGTCAGTATCTCCAGAATCCTGAAGCTAAAAATTTAGGGTAACTGTTTTATAATGAAAGCATATAAACATGAAGTTAAATTCTTTCTTTCCCCAATTCACCAATTCCATTTTTAAAAACAATCTGCTAAGAGTTCATTGTGCATCTTTCCAAAAATTATATAGCTATCTAAGTAATGTAGGTACATATGTGGGGCTAGTTAAGTACAAAAATATAAATATTTTTTCAGCTTATTTTCCACAAATAGGATTCTCATCAGAAAATTTGTTCTGCACACTTTTTTCATGTAACATTCTATGTTAGAGATTTTTATATCAATACACACAGCCACAGTTCTATTGTATACTTTTATTATTCCAGTTTTTCACTATTATAAACGCTACAAAGAACACTCTTGTAGGTCAGTGTATAGTTGTACAAAGATATTTTACAAATTTCCAGAGGAAGAACTGCTGTCAAAGGACGTAGGCCTTTAAATAAGTA